GCGCTGGCAACGCCACGACTGCCGCTGGGTGCGTACCGCATGCTGCTGGGCGTTGCGGGTACGCTGACTGGCGTGCTGGGCGGACTGGAATGCTACTGACGTCGCCCGCACGCTGACTGTGCGCAGACAAACGCACGCCGCTGCGCTGGCGCGCTGCCTGGCACACTGAACGCTGGCCGGGGCGCTGCTGCCGCTATGTGCGGCAGCGCGACCACGGTCGACTCCTTGCGGACCGTCCGGCGAACTCATCCGACCAAACTGACTATTTCTAACATGTTCTGACCCATGAATGAGCAATAAACTGAATTTAACAGAAAGGACTGAATTTTTGCTGATCGGACCTAATACTCGGCCGTGGCGCTCGCTATGTACGAGGCTTACGGCCCCAACCGTAGCCAGCGCCTATCGCGCGTGGCCTCGGGTGGCTTCGGGCCGAGGGTTGTTGCCTTCAGTAATAATCGTGTTTGTCCATGTGATTAAGTCTTAAATTGTTTCAGTATAATGATCATGTTGAGTTGTTCTGTAGTTGTCGGTTAATAAGTTATTTCGGCCGAGAGGCGGCACATAGCCGTCGGCGGCGCACGGGCGTTCGCCGCGACCTTTCATGATCATAGCGTGCATGTTATGTCTTCAGGTTATGTTCGATAAAGCATATTCATGTAAGACCTGATAAGTTCGGTGAAGTTCAGTTTTGATCGAGATACTTGTAATTTGATTTAAATTGAACACATTGCAAAACATTTTTTGTGTATGACAGCTTATCAAATGACTATTTTTAAATAGAAAATAAATAAAGTTGAAAATATGTGATTACATAAAAAATAAAGTGAAAAATCAACATTGAAATATACAATCGATCAAAATCTAACCATTCAACTAAACTCAGGTTTTATAAATCATTAAATTGATTTACAATTATAAGGCCGAAAGAGTAAATTATTATAAATAGTTTCAAAAATTTATCCAGAATTATAAAATATAATGATTGTTAATATATTTTTCAATAAATAAATAATATTATTAAATAGTATTGAGTATAAGTTTTAATTATTTATATATTTTTTTATATTTTTTACATTATTATTCATTGTTTATGTTGTTGTTGTTATTATTATTATTATTATTATTATTATTATTATTATTATTATTATTATTATTATTATTATTATTATTTGCATATATATATATATACAAATATATATAATGATTTTTAAAAAAACTTGAGGGGGGCTCACGGGTCCCCCTGGACCTAATACAGGTCCATCCATGGTCTGAACCAAAGACCCGAATTCAAGTAATATAGTAATAAGCGGGGGATCAACATTGAAAATGTAGGAAACAAAGACAAAAGTTAAAAGAGAGAGAAACGAACAGGGGTTAAATTTAAGTGGTAAGCAGCTTGATGTCGATTAAGCAAAGTTTCGGGTTCGAGTCTTTGTAAATGCAGAAAACCTTGTTGGGAGACTCACCCAACATTGCCAGGTGTGCGACTTGGGTCGGCCAACGGATTAGTTGGAGCAACGCTTCGGACTCACCCAACATTGGCCGATTAGTCGGGGCAACGCTTCGGACTCACCTAACATTATCAGGTGTGCGACTCAAGTCGGCCAACGAATTAATTGGGGCAACGCTCCGTATACCGTGGCTAGCTACTAAAGAAACAATCATGTATAGGTTCGAATCCTGCCTTTTAGATGCTCTAAATCCCAAACCAATAGTTAGCCCTTTACACCATTCACTGAAAGCGAGGTTTACACCGAAGGATAGTCTTTCCGTGTACTTGTACGTATTAGACGAGTTGAACTCCTTAGCCTAGCTATTTGGCTTTCATTCTTTTTTTTCTTTTTTTTTTTTTTTCGGAAGAGACAATTTTCATTCAAAATCAATAAAATTATTATTATTAATTATTAATGAGAAAAGAGGGGAAACTTTTGGAAGTCTCCTCTTTCTCTTTGACCATGTCCACCACCTTCGTCTCCTTCTTCCCTTCTTCCTCCTCTCTGCTTTAAGCTTTCCCGTAATCCAATTGTTTATCTTCATGTTTCGCGATATATAATCCTCCATTTTTCTTGTACCCCTCTTTGAATTCTTGCATTGAATATACAGAATCCCTTGGTTCGGGTCAACAAAGCTGGGATCTTTTTTCTATTTTCTTGTTTTCGCAATTCAGCAATGGGTAGCTGTTTGTCCACCATAAAAGTGTGTGGTTCCGGCAGCAACAACCCTCCTGCCACCGCCAACAACCCCAAGAACCGCCGCTCCTCCGCCGCTTCAACGGCTACCTATGGAAATCCTTCCACGACTACTACTACATCGAAAAAACAAGAGGGGTCCCACAATCGTCAGAAGCCGCGTGAAAACAACAAGGATCATCCAAACCAGAAGCAATCCCAGCACATAATCAAGAATACTTCGAAAAAGTCAAGCGGGGTCATTCCGTGTGGTAAAAGGACAGATTTTGGGTATGATAAGGATTTTCATACGAGGTATACCATCGGAAAATTGTTGGGCCATGGCCAATTTGGTTATACCTATGTTGCTATTGATAAGTCGAATGAAGATCGTGTTGCTGTCAAGAGAATAGAGAAGAACAAGGTTTAATTGCCCCTTCTGTTTTATTTATTTATTTATTTTCACAAAGCAATTGGTTTATTGACGGCTGTGTTGTTCACTTATACCGTCCTTGAGACGAATGATTTAGCTCTATTTGCAATGTGTCCTAGTATTGTGTTAATTGGATTGATTTCTTAGAACTTGAGCTTTGTCTTATTTATTTTTTCCTTTAATTGATCGTTTTTCTATCTTCTGTCCCTTTTTTTTTCTGAGTGATGGACTCTCAAATCTAAGATCATCAGGTTTAGTTAGAATGTTCTAAGCTTTCATGAAGTCGGCATGGAAGATGAATATGTTTGGATCACCTGGGGTTGTATTGTGAATTATATATTTTTTATTTGGATGGCCCATTTGATCTCTATGATGATGCTGAGGGCATTTAACATGCATTTTTGTATGTTGTTATCAAGGTAGATGTTTAGATTATAGATGTCGAATCGTCCAATAAGATTCTCCTGCATACTAATTCACTTACCTTATAAAATGACAAAAGGCTGTGAGTTAAGAACTTCTTGAATACATGACAGATGGTTCTTCCTATTGCGGTTGAGGATGTCAAGCGCGAAGTCAAAATATTGAAAGCTTTAGCTGGCCACGAAAATGTGGTTCACTTTTATAATGCTTTTGAGGATGATTCATATGTATACATAGTTATGGAGTAAGTGTTGGTTTCAAAATGAACTGGGTTTTCCACTTTCCTACATTAAGATGTGTGTAGCAGAAGAGTGTGTGAATAACTTGCTATCAACTTGTTTGTTTAGGTTATGTGAGGGTGGAGAACTGCTAGACCGTATACTATCAAAGTAAGCATGCTGGAATTCTCTATTTAGTCTTTGTAAATACGTGACGTTTGCTATTAGTCTGGAAGTTAAATCTGTATTTTTCTATAACAGAAAGGATAGCCGTTACACGGAGAAAGATGCAGCAATTGTTGTGAGGCAGATGCTCAAAGTAGCAGCCGAGTGCCATTTACATGGCTTTGTACATCGTGATATGAAACCGGAGGTATGTGCTAAAAGTAGTTTCATTTCATTCTTGGCTTGACTAATGCTTAATTGGTATTCTAAAATGTACTTTTTTCCTCAGAATTTCTTATTCAAGTCCGCAAAGGAGGATTCACCCCTGAAGGCTACAGATTTCGGCCTTTCAGACTTCATACGTCCAGGTAATCAGATTCGACCCTCCGCTTTTCCATTTGGTTAAAAACATCAACAGCAATGAAGAAACTAGTGTTTTAGTGACTACATTATTTGATTCTGACCTCTAATTCTTAATATTCATCAAGTTCTTTGTCCATCCATTCATGAAATGCTTGCTTATATACGAAATGCAAGATATGGTGTGCTCCTTTTATTGTTTCTCATTTTTCTCAAACTCGTTGAATTTTTCCAGGCAAGAAATTCCAAGATATTGTTGGCAGTGCGTATTATGTTGCTCCAGAGGTTTTGAAGCGTAAATCTGGGCCCGAATCAGATGTGTGGAGCATTGGTGTAATTACTTACATTTTGCTATGTGGCCGTAGGCCATTCTGGGACAAAACAGAAGACGGCATATTTAAAGAGGTTATAGATTGTATATTTATATTAATGTTTATCTTATTAATACTTGTATAATCACAATGTTTGCTATATTTGTTCATAAAATATAAAGATAATTTTGTTGGCACGAAAGATTGATATAGTATTGGGATTAGGAAGCCTCATACAGGAAGGACCTATATCTAAATATTATCCCGTTTAAAAAATTGAGATTTTCATACCAAGTGATACACATATTAGATGGTATTATGACATAGTGTTTATTGCAACTGGGTTCTGACTGCATGTTGGTGTTTGTATAGGTCCTCAGGAACAAACCTGACTTCCGGCGGAAACCATGGTCAGGAATAAGCAATGCTGCTAAAGATTTTGTGAAGAAGCTACTAATGAAAGATCCTCGTGCAAGACTTACCGCAGCTCAAGCCTTATGTACGTCTGTACTCTCTAACTACTAGCTATGCATTCTCAGTATTACTAACAGTTAGAGCTAATAGTATTAGAACATTTAAGTTTTATTAACAGCTTTTTCTGCATCAATCTTTTTTATTAAAGAAATAGTGCCTTCTATATTTATATTTGCATTTTTATTTATTTATTTATTTTTCCTATACAAACTTTAAGTGCGAACTTTATATTATATAACTACCTGGCATAAAATATGACCCCAGTCAATGATAATTGAAAATCTAAAATGCAGTAAATTGGACTGTACCAAAATGCAGCAGGCTTCGATTACTATGGGTAATCATGTAATAAGAAGACGCCATAGTCTTGACCATTTTAGTTTTGATTACTAAACCCGAAGAAAAGACTTCATCCGATAATCTTACTCTATAATGGTGTAAAGTTGTGAAGCTTTTTATCCAATTTCACCATTTTTCTCCGATAAAAGACTGAATTCGACTAATTCTTTTCACAGTATTTTTCTTTCACCTTGTTAATTCAATCAATCAATCAACGTACCTAGTATATTCCCAACAGGTTGGGGTCTGGGAGGGTCAGTTGTACGCAGACCTTACCCTTGTAATTATACAAGGAGGCTGTTTCCATAGCGACCCAAGGTGCGTTGCGTCGTTTGATATATTTTTTTCTAGAAACTTCACTAATAGAAGAAGCACTAGAATTTAATTGAGCCATTTTGATCTAGTCCATTATTAGCACTATGCCAGGAGAATTGTCAACAATGACTCTTCCAGCTCCATATGCAATGGACATAAATTCACCTTGTTAATTCACGGAGATAAATTCTTTTCCTGTTGTGGAGGTGGATAGTGTCTAGGGGAGAGGGCAACATTTATGAGCTGCAATCATCTGGTTATTTTGGTTGGATATTAGACTATGCGTCAGTATTTGGAAATTTGACTGGTTTTGGAGTAACATTTAGTTTGGTAACCAGGTACAAAAAAATCAGACAGAAAACATGTTTCAGCGTTATTCTTTGGTATAATATGGGAATTTCTCCTTCAGAAAGAAATATTCTTTGCATGCAATCAGTCACTTATGATTCTACTATTAAAACATGAGGGACTAGGCTTTCTGTAAATTACAGACCTAATTTGTGACAAATATTAGAGCTGTTGAAGACGAGACTAGTTAAGACCCATGGGGGTGGGTATGGAATGACACCCTTAAAGTTTATAAACTCGTGGGGATTGGATTTAATTAAAGTCCACATTAATATAATATTTACTTGGATTGTTTTAGAAAAAAGACACATTGTTACTGCAGCCTATGCACTCATATCAACAGTGAGATCAGACAGGTTGCTTGGTGCAACATATGATTTGGTTATTTGAGTAATGATGGCTGGATCTTAGGATGAACAAGACTTTTTGGAGCCCAAATCCTAATTCAAGACTTTGTAGATTTAGAATGACTAAATGAATAGAGGCGATGGAGGGTTGAACTTAAGGGTCACTTTCTCCTTGAGGCAGTAGCTTCTGATCTTCTTTTGATGTTAATTGGATTTTTACTACTTCCATTTGCTTAGACTTGATGATGACTCTCACAAGGTTTAGAGGGACAAGCTTTGTGCTCTCATAAGGTTAGGTCGATTAGACTTACACCGATGTCTATGATGGCCCAAGAAATTGTTTGTCTGTGTATGTAAAGTTACTTCACGTTTGGGCCAATGTAAAGTTAATTCTTTTATCAAACATTATAGAATCCAACAAAAGCTTTCCTTCAATTTTATCAATACCATTTTAAACATAAACTCGATCATTACTAACTTGCTATAAACTTAACAATGCTTTCACTCAAAACTACCACTCGTTATTTTATTATTTCTACATCACACCAACTTTAGTCATTACATTTCCATCTTACATCCATCGTACTACATAATTTCATCTTACATTTTGCATTCATCACAAGGTCTACTCGACGCGAGAATTGGGTGTTCATGAAACCCAATTATCACGTCAAGAAAACGGAAAATCAAACAATTGGTAGGCCTTCTCGCACTTTGAATTCAAATTTTCCATATAATGCCATAAAGCAACTAGTACTTTGGCCCATTGCTCACGCCTAACAAAAATTGGTCAAAGTAAAGGTCATTTTGAAATATTATGCGCCTTCTTTGCTTAGTAAGTTTTTCTTGGTGGTCATTGCCATCAGGGGCGATGTAAATTATCAACAACTTAATTTGGTAATCAGGGAGTTATTCTGGGTTTACATTTAATTTAGGCCTTTTAGTTTTGTGCAATGCATATGCAGAAAGCTTCGATACTGAAGTCGGTGTTAATTTGTATATCCTGTAGCTATTTATGTTTCGAAAACTCCTAAAACAATGTGTGGATTGCCAAATCTAGAGGATGCATTCAAGTTTATGTTCGTGAACTTATAATTGATGGATTTTATGCAGCTCATCCATGGGTTCGAGAAGGAGGTGAAGCTTCAGAGATTCCTCTCGACATTTCTGTTCTATCCAATATGCGGCAGTTCGTCAAATACAGTCGGTTCAAGCAGTTTGCGCTTCGGGTAACACATTTTTTTAGTTACTGAAATTTCTATGGCGACTCTTGAGATACAACAGCAAGGGAGGCAACTAACTTATCAAAACAAATTAATATTACACCAGGCACTGGCCAGTACACTTGACGAGGAGGAGCTTTCTAACCTTCGGGACCAGTTTGATGCAATCGATGTGGACAAAAATGGTGCTATTAGCCTTGAAGAAATGCGACAGGTTAATTGTTTTCTTCATTTTGTTATGCAGGATTTACTTAGGCTTTTTGTTTTCTTGAACTTTTATTTTCCCCACGTTTCAATAAGCAATGTACCATTTATTTTTTTTCTAGTGGCTGTTATATCTCATGTTTATTTTTTACTTTAGGCCTTGGAAAAGGATCTTCCTTGGAAAATGAAGGATTCGAGAGTTGTTGAAATACTCCAAGCAGTATGTCTTTGCATCACAATGAGAGTTTCACATTTTCTCTTGCCATTTTTTACCTTGTTATTTATTCATTTGTATACTTATTTATTTGATTTTTGTTAGATTGACAGCAATACCGATGGGCTTGTAGATTTTTCTGAGTTTGTTGCAGCCACTCTGCACGTCCATCAATTGGAAGAGCATAATTCGGAAAAATGGCAGCAGAGATCACAGGCTGCCTTTGAAAAATTTGATGTCGACCGAGATGGGTTCATAACTCCAGAAGAACTTAAAATGGTAAGTATTTTTCCTCTAAATGTCCTCAGGTGAAAAAAAAAAAAAAAACCTTTGTGTTTTCTCTTTTGTGGCTTCCTTGTATTTATTCTTCTTTCACTATCCCAGCACACTGGCCTAAGGGGCTCGATAGACCCGCTTCTAGAAGAAGCGGATATTGACAAAGATGGAAAGATCAGCTTGTCTGAATTCCGCAGGCTCTTAAGAACCGCCAGCTTGAGCTCACGACGTGTGAAGAGCCCTACCGCCAGGGGAGTTGCCCACAGGATATAGACAACATCATCAAGGTATTTTGAAAGAGTGCATTTTCGAGTGGCCCGTGCATT